TCTCAGCACACATCTGGCACCAGGCCTCACCCTTAACGATCTTGTTCTAGTACCAGCGAATTTAGTTGTTCTCTGGCATCTGCTGGCACCGTTGACTGTGGGGGTCCACACAGCTTCAACCAAATGTCCTCCCAGCAGGGGAACCGTCTGTCCCCTGTGACCCGAGGACCCCGGACCTCACTCTGCTCCTGGAGATTTGCCCTTCCCACAAGAGCACTGCCGGATATTGAGCTGTGGAGTTTCCAACTCTGTGCTCCCCGTTTTTATAGAGTCTTAGTGAAATCTAAACCCTCTCCTTTCTCCTTTCTGCCTTTTTAGTTCAGTCCCTGCATCTGTTTCCACTTTTCCACTTTCTCTCTAGCTGCTTTTGTGGAGAGGGGTGCTTTTCCCCTACTCTCTCTGCAAGCAAAAACAGCTCCCTGCCCTCTGTGGCTTCTCTGTCCCCCAGTTCACCTCTCCGCGCCACTACCTGCTGATTTCTTTGGTTCAGGTTGTACAGATTGTTGTGTTAATCCTCTAATCAGTTTTCTAGGTGTGCAGGATGGGTTAGTGTTGATTTGGGTGTATTTCATGGATGTGAGACACAAAAAAAACTTCCATGCTGTTCCCTGGTAATTCTGTTTTTTACAGAGCCACCATATTATCTTCCACAGTTGTTGAGCCATTTTACATTACTGCAGTGTACAAAAGGATCCAGTGTTTCCACATTGTTGCCAACTCTTTGTTTACTATTTCTTTGATTATAACCATCCTAATGGTTTGATTTGCATTTCTCTAATGACTAAAGATGTTTGTTGAGTATTTTTTGTGTGCTTATTGGCCATTTGTAGAAAAATCTTTGGAGAGATGTCAATTCAAGTCCTTTGCCCATTTTTAAATTGGGTTGTCTTGTTGAGTTATAAGAGTTCTTTATATATTCTGAATAGTAGTCCCTTATCAGATATATGATTTATCAGATATATATTTTCTCATTCTGTGGTTTGCCTTTTCAATATATTGATGATGTCCTTTGATGCACAAAAGTTTTAGATTTTGATGAAGTCCAGTTTGTCTATTTTTTTCCTTTTGTTGCTTTTACTTTTAGTGTCCTTTCCAAGAAATCATTGCCAAATCTAATGTCATGGAGCTTTCCTCCTATGTTTTCTTCTAAGAATTTCATAGTTTCAGCTCCTCATTTTAGGTCTTTCATCCATTTTCAGTTAATTTTTGTTTATTGTGTAAAGTAAAGGTCCAAGTTCATTGTTTTGCATGTGGCTATCCAGTTTTCCCAATAGCATTTGTTGAAAAGACTGTCTTTACCCCCATTGAATGGTTTGGCCCTGTTGAAAATTGTTTGGAAATACATGAGGATTTATTTCCAGGTTCTCTATCCTATTTTATGATTTATATGTTTGTCTTAATGCCAGTACTATATTGTTTTGATTTCTCTACCTTTGTAGAAAGTTTTAAAATCAAGAAGTATGATCTTTGATCTTTTTAAAGACTGTTTTGACTATTCAGGGCTTCTCAAGATTGTGCATGAATTTTGGGGAGGAATTCTTCTGTTTCTGCAAAAATGTTGGGATTTTGATAGGGATCGCATTGAATTTGTAGATTGCTTTGGGTAAAATGACATCTTAACAATATTAAGCCCTGTAATCCGTGAACACAGGATGTCTTTCCATTATTTGTGTCTTCCTTAAATATGTTCTTTCAGCAACATATTTGTAATTTTTAATGTATAAGTCTTGTGCCTTCTAGGCTAAACTTATTACTAAATATCTTTTTAATGCTATTGTAAATGGAAATTATTTTCCTAATTTCCTTTTTAGATTGTTCATTGCTAGTGTACAGAAATGCAACTTATTTTTGAGTGTTAATTTTGTATTCTGCAACTTTGCTGAATTTATTAGTTTTTTAACAGAGTGTATGCGTGTGTGTGTGTGTGTGTGTGTGTGTGTGTGTGTGTGTTTGTAATGTTTTGGGTTTCCTACATATAATATCATATCTGTCAACAGGGATAATTTTACATATTCTTTTCCAATTTGGATGCTTCTTATTTCTTTTTCTTGCCTAATTGCTCTCACTAGAACTTTTAGTACTGTGTAGATACAATATTAGGCATCCTCATCTTGTTCCTGATCTTTGGGGAAAAATTTTCAGTCTTTCACTTGAATATCTTGTCAATTTGGGTTTTTCATATATGACTCTTATTATGTTTAGGAAGGTACCTTCTATTTCTAGTTTCTTGAGTGTTTTGTATTGTGAAGTAGTGTTGGATTTTGTCAAAGGCTTTCTCTGCATCAGTTCAGTTTCAGGTGTACAACATAAAGGTTTGACTTACACATGTTGTGAGATGATTACCCCAATAAACTTTAGTTAACATCTATCACCTCATGTACATATATTAAAAATAAATAGACAAAAAAATATTTTTTATTACTTGTAATGACAACTCTTAGGATTTACTGTCTTAACAACTTTCATATATATCATATAGCAGTGGTAATTTTAGTTATATATTACATTCCTAGTTTATTTCTCTTATAACTAGAAATTTGTACATTTGGACCACCTTCCTCCAATTCCCCCAGCCCCCTATTTGTTGGCATTTTGTTGAGGAATTTTTGCATGTCTACTCATAAGGGATATTAGCCTGTAGTTTTCTTTCAATGTCTTCGGTTGGCTTCACAGAATGTGTTCCTTCCTCTTCAGTATTTTGGAAGAGTTTGAGAATTGATGTCATTTTTTCCTTGAATGCTTGATGGAATTAATCTATGAGGCCATCTATTCCTGGGCTTTTCATTGTTGGGAGGTTTTTGATTACTGATTCAATTACCTTACTTCTTACAGGTCTATTCAGATTTTCTATTTCTTCTTACATCATTTTTAGTAGTGCGTTTGTTTCTAAGAATTTGTCCATCTAGTCATCCAGTTTGTTGGCATTCAGTTGTTTGTAGTATTCTCTTATAATCCTGTTTATTTCTGTAAAATAAATAGAATTGTCTCCACTTTTGTTTCTGATTTTAGAGATTTGAGCCGTTTTCTCTCTCTCTCTCTCTCTCTCTCTCTCTCTCTCTCTCTCTCTCTCTTTTTAGCCCATCTGGGTAGAAGCTTGTCAATTTTGTTGGTCTTTTCAAAAAAGCAACTTTCAGTTTTGTTGATTTTTCTCTATTTTTGTATTCCCAGTTTATTTCCATTTTAATATTAGTTGTTCCTTCTGTCTGCCAGCTTTCAGTTTAGTTCAGTTTTCAAGTTCCTTTTAAAGCATACAGTTAGGCTATGATTTGAGATCTTTTTTTTTTTTTTTAATGTTAGGTATGTTTACCAGATATAAATTACTTTCTTAGCAGTGCTTTCACTGCATCCTGTAAGCTTTGTTATGTTGTATTTTCCATTTTCATTGGTTTCAAGGAATTTTCTAATTTCTTTTGTGATTTCTTCTTTGACCCATTAAATCATGTTGTCATAAATTTCCATGGATTTGTGAATTTTTCACCTTTATTTCTGTTACTGATTTCTAGTTTCATTGCATTGTGATTGGAAAAAAATACTTTGTATGATTTCAATATTTTATTTTATTTTATTTATTTTAAAGTTTATTTTTTGAGAGAGGAGGAGGGGCAGAGAAAAGGAGACAGAGTATCTGAAGCAGGCTCTGCACTGCAGAGAGCCCAAAGGGGGGCTCAAACTCACGAACTGTGAGATCATGACCTGAACCATGACCTGAACCAAAGTCCAGTGCTTAACTGACTGAGCCACCCAGGCACCCTGTTTTATATTTTTTTAAATTTTAGTGCATTACTGGGTTCAGGAGTAGAATTCAGTGATTCATCATTTACATACAATACCCAGTGCTCATCATAAGTACCCTCCTTGGTATCCATCACCCATTTAGCCCGTCTTCCACCCACCTCCCTCCATAAACCCTCAGTTTGTTCTCTATCATTAAGAGTCTCTTGTGGTTTCCCTCTCTTCTCCTACCCCTCCTTCCCATATGTTCATCTGTTTTGTTTCTTAAATGTCACATATGGGTGAAATCATATGGTATTTGTCTTTCTCTGATTGACTTATTTCATTTAGCATAATACATTCTAGCTTCATCCACGTGATTGCAGATGGCAAAACTTCATTGTTTTTGATGGATGAGTAATGTACCACATCTTCTTTATCCATTCATCAGTTGATGGACATTTGGACTCTCCATAGTTTGGCTATTGTTGATAATGCTGCCATAAACATTGGGGTGCATGTACCCCTTCGAATCTGTATTTTTGTATCCTCTGGGTAGTGGTTTCAAAATTTTAAAGACTTGTTTTGTGGTCTATTATATGGTCTTTCTTGGAAATGTCCTATGTTCTCCTTAGAAGAATATGTATTCTGTTGGATAGAGTGTTCTGTACATGTATGTTAGGTCCAGTTGGTCTATAGTTTTGTTCAAGTCCTCTATTATTGCTCTTATTTTTTGTTCAGTATTGATGTCTCTAACTTTTATTGGAGGACTATTTTTCTCTTGGATTCTGTCAATTTTAGCTTCATATATTTGACACTATGTTGTTGGGTGTGTATATGTCTATAACCATTATATTTTCTTGATAGATGGAAATTTTTATTAATATAAGATATCCTTTGTCTCTGAAAACTTTTTTTGATGCAATGTCATATTTTGTCTCATATTAGTATAGTCATTCCAGTTCTCTTTTGGTTACTATTTTCATCGAATATCTTTTCCATCCTTTTACTTTCAACCTGTTTGACTCTCTTGTTGACCACATATAGTAGGATCCTGTTTTGTTTTTTTTTTTCTTTAAATTTTTTAATCCATTCTGCCAAGCCATGCCTTCTGTTAGATTTATTATCACTACTTGTAGGGCAGGGTTTACTTTTGCCACTTTTAAAATTTGTTTTCTCTGTCTTAGAGCTTTAGTGTCTCATTTCCTTCATTATTGCCTTTCTTTGTGTTTAGTTGATTTTTTTTCCTTTGTGTTTAGTTGTTTTGTTTTTTTTTTGTAGTAAAATATTTTGATTCCCTTCTCACTTCTTTTGTTAATATTTTATACATATATTTTTTGTGCTTACTATGCATACTACATATAACATCCTAAGGTTATAATAATGAAATCATTTTGAATTCACATTGATTGTTGATGACACATATTACATCTTTATACATTACCTGTTAACATAGATTTGTAATGATTTTTTATGCATTTCTCTGTGTATCCTGTAGGAAGTAAAATGTGGAGTTTACAAACCATAATGACAGTAATACTGGTTTTTATTTTTGCCCATGTTTATTTACCTTTAGTAGAAATTTTTTTATCTTTGTATGGCCTCGAGTTATTGTCTAGTGGCTGTTCATTTCAACCTGAAGAATTCTTAGCATTTCTTGTAGGGCAGGTCTAGTGATAAGGATCTCCTTCAGCTTTTGTTTATCTGGAAGGATAGTTGCAGGATATATAATTCTCTGTTTACAGTTGTTTTTTTTTTTTTTTTTTTTTTTTTTTTTTTTTAAGCTCAGTGCTTTAAATATTTCAGCCCACTGCTTTCCAGCCTTCAAGGTTTCTGCTGAGAAATCTGCTTGTATTCTCATTGAGGGTCCCTTACATGTGATAAATTGCTCATCTCTTGCTGCTTTCAAGATTCTCTCTTTATCTTTCAAAGGTGTGATTATGTGTCTTGGTATTGGTCTCCAGGTTTATTCTACTTGTAGTAACTTGAGCTTTTTGGATTTGTTGGTTCATGTTTTTCACCAAATTTGGAAACTTTTGGGCCATTATTTCTTCTAATAATTTCTTTGCTACTTTTTTTCCTTTTGAGACTCCCTTAATTTGTATATTAGTCCACCTGATTATATCCCATATGTCCTTTAGGCTTAGTTCACTTTTTTCCATTGCTTTCTCTGCTCCTTAGACTTGATAATTTCAAATGTCCAATCTTCAGGTTCACTGATTGTTTCTTTTGCTTGTTCAAATATGCTGTTGAATCTCTGAGGTGAATTTTACAATTCAGTTATTATTTCCACTGTAGAATTTCTGTTTGGTTCCTTTTTATAATTTTGGTCTTTACGTACTCTCATTTTGTTAATGCATTATTCTCTTTATTTCCTTTAGTTCTAGTTCTTTGAATTTTTCTTTAGTACACCTGATGCCTTTGTTTCTTTAGGAATGGCTTCTAGAGATATATTTTGTTCTTTTCTGTGGACCAGATTTTTTTTTGTCTATTGTATTCCTTTTGGTATCTGATGAAATTTTTAAATTTTGATGGACATTTGAAAAAACAGTCATCTGGATTTTTGGAATAAAGTAGATATGCCCTGAGCCTTCTTATAAAACCCGAAGTGAAAGGTTATGGTGTTTCCTGTGTTTTCTGAGCATGTGTGTTTCTTGGACCTGTGTGGGGATATTTTTTTAATATTCTGTATACATAGCTGCTGTTGAATGTTTTAGTTTACAAAGAATCTCACCTCTACTTCTCTTTGTGGTCTCAGATTGTATGTTGTTTGGCTCCACCCCTAATCTCTTGTGCCAGGTTCCTGTGGGCCTGTAGTTTCCCTGTAGCCTCCCTGCAGCTTTCATGATCAGTGCCAGCTATTTTCCCCCAACTGAGGTCTGGCTTAGGTGAGACAGATACCAGTTATTTAGTCAGCCCCTGGACAGATAAGAATGTTGCCAGTAATGTCTGGGCTATTCTCTGTGGTCCAAGGGAAGGAATAGGGTTCTGGGCTGCCACATTCTCCAGACCAGAGCTGCTTCACGTTGGGGAGGAGGTGGCTAAAGGCAAGTAAAAATGCCATGACATTTCCTGCTGTTTTGATTGTGACTTTTTCTTGGTTGGGTGTTTGCTTGGTTGTTGTAGACTTTTGACTATTTTTTCAGAGCTCTTCTAGTTAGTTTCTGATTGTTCTTGAATGTTTTCTGGTTGCAGTGGGCTGGGGAGACAAGGGCTTTTAGAGCTTTTTAGTCTGTAAGTTTGCTCCTTATTGTTTTAAGGGAAGGTTTTATTTTCCTTTGGACATGGGAAATTTTTGAGCATGTTTATAATAAGCATACTGAGTGATTAACAGTTTAAGAGAAAGAAATGATACAGATCCTAGATGTGATGGCATTAAATATATAGAAAATGTAGCTTTGGAAAGTATCAATGAAAAAGAGAAAGGAGCAAAGATAGATGAAGAATATTTGTGTTAGTGAAGTTAAAGGTTCAGATTTTCATAGAAATAAAGTCAAGTTTATTTAGAAGTGTGAGAGGTTCGGGGCGCCTGGGTGGCGCAGTCGGTTAAGCGTCTGACTTCAGCCAGGTCACGATCTCGCGGTCCGGGAGTTCGAGCCCCGTGTCAGGTTCTGGGCTGATGGCTCAGAGCCTGGAGCCTGTTTCCGATTCTGTGTCTCCCTCTCTCTCTGCCCCTCCCCCGTTCATGCTCTGTCTCTCTCTGTCCCAAAAATAAATAAACGTTGAAAAAAAAAAAATTTTAGAAGTGTGAGAGGTTAGAGGGTTAGGAAGTATGTGTAGAATATGTGTTGTGGGAAATGTGATATGGCCATCAGCAATTTTATGATTTATCTTAATGAGGCAATATGTGTGTTCTTGTGTATCTTCCATGAGGCATACATATTTTAAGTTCATTGATATTTTGTTATAACTTATGATTTTGGCTTTATAGTTTATGATTTGATTTTATCTATATAATACTTAAATATATACTTATGATTTGTGTTTTATCTATATAATAAATGTCTGTAACTTTAAAACATCATGTATTTTCTGAAAACATAATGAAAAAGTAGTAGGGTCTTGCTCAGTCCCCCTTAGCTTCCATTTCCCATTCCCCAGAGGTAATTACTTTCAGTCTCTTGGCTAATCTTTTGCTCTTTTCTTTTTATCCATATTTCCCAAGTTATTTGTTATATTCTACTTTCTTGACTGTTTTTCAGTTTTATGTAGTATTTGTTAGATCCCTGCCTATAATTAAAGGCTAGCATTTAGATCATTTACATGCTCTTCTCCCTCTCCCTGCTCCCCAAATCTTTTTAATATTATTTTATTATAATTTTTGTTAAATCATTGTTCATGCTTAGATTTAATTCCATTCCAATTATTGTATACCTCTTCATTTGAAGTTAACTGTTTTTTGTTTGTTGTGTAATGACATGTGTCTTTCATTAATTCACTCAAACACTTTGATTTTATTCTTAAGAGACCTGTGTACTGGATGGAATTCTTCATAATCTGGCTTCAATTTGGCCGGGCTTCTATCTTGGAAAACAAAACAAAACAAAACAACAAAACAGTCATCTTCCTGGTGTCTTCCTTTACCATTATACTCCTATTTATTCCTTGTTCCCTGGTTCCCATGGCATCTCCTCTCAGGTTTTACTCATTTTGTTGGTGTATATAGCCTTTAGTAACTTTGTGTGTGGGAGATACATGTTTTGAAATTTTGCATGTCTGAAAATATTTTTTGTACTCTAACTTTTTGTAACCAGACTGTTAGAACTGTAGGTTGTTTTTTTTTTTTTTAACAAATTTTCCTTCAGAAATTTGAAGGTATTCTGTTACTTTTTGTCTTATGTATTGCTTTTGCAAAGTCTGAAGCCATTCTCCTTCCTCTGTATGTAACTTGCTTTGTTTTTGTTTTTAGAAGCTCTAGGTTTCTCCCTATTCCCCATGATCTGAAATGCCACTGTGATATATATATTGTGTTTCTTTAAAAAAAATTTTTTTTTTTTTTTTACATTTATTTAGTTTTGAGAGACAGAGAGAGACAGAGTGTGAGCAGGGGAAGGGCAGAGAGAGAGGGAGACAGAGAATCAGAAGCAGACTCCAGTCTCTGAGCTGTCCGCACAGAGCCCGACGTGGGGCTTGAACCCATGAACTGTGAGATCATGACCTGAGCTGAAGTTGAACGCTTAACTGGCTGAGCCACCCAGGTGCCCCTACCTCATTGTGTTTCTTTTAAAGTTTGTTTGCTAGGTATTTGATGGGGTTCTTCCAAGGTGAAGATGCATGTCCTGCAGTCCTGGAAAAGTTTTAATATTATTTCTTTAATAATTTCCTTCTCCTGTTATTCATGTCTTTGTCTTTGTTAAAGTTTTGAAGTGATTTCTTTTTATCTTTGGAATCATGAATTTTTAAAAATATTTCTGTACATTTTAATTGCTAGGAGCTCTGTATTTTTGTTTGCTTTGTTATTTTTTGAATGTTCCTTTGGTATAGCATACTGTTCTTGTTTCATGAGTACAGTATTTTTTTTTGGATTTTCAAATTTTCTTCATGCATTGTTTTTGTTTCCTCTGCAGTGCTTTTATTTATTTATTTGTTTATTTTTACTTTTGTTCTCCCTTTTTTCCTTCCCTCCCTTCCTTACTCTTTGACATTAACAGTGAAGACTCTTCAGATATTTGGTGATCCTTGGCCAACCATTTATACTTAAGAGGTATGCACTGTTACGAAGCTGTGTGTACGGGTGGAGTTTGATTATTAGTCCTTTCTATAGGGAGTTAAGGTGGCAAACTGATTTTCTTTCATTAAGGAATCTACAAAAATCAGCAGTTTTGGGCTTAATCAGCATCCTACAGAAGAATTTTCTAATCTTTATCCTAGTGTTTTGGGAACCAGGCTAGATGTTTCAGGGTTCAGCATGAACACTGTTTTGAGTAAGACTTTTCCTATTTTCTCCTTTGTTCATCACTCCTCCCACAGTCTCTGCAAACCACTGTAGGTTGTAAATCCTTTGTTTAGTCAAGAAAGGGGATATTACCTGGCTGTGCTTTGTGAGGTTGGGGTTTGGAACCTAACCATTCTGTTCAACCTTTCACCCAGATCTTTGTTTTCACCTTACCCTTTCATTCAGAAATATTTCCAAGAGAGGATTCTTTCCAGGCCTGACAGCCCAGATTGACTTGCTGCAGCTTCCCCTGCTGCAGTTAGGTGTTGGCTTTTTCTGTTGAACACAGTCCGTTATCACTTGTCCAGTTGCCAAGATTTGGTTGACATCATTTTGTCTGCTGTATTTCTTTTCTCTTTTCCCATTATCTTTGTCTTTATGCCTTTGATAAAAATACTTAGTTGTTATTTTAACACAGGTATAGGGAAAAAGTAAATATGAAGTGCATGAATTCAATCTCTGTGTTAAAGCAAAAGTACAAACCTTGGGACTAGTTTATGGGGAGATTCTGTGCAGAGATCTGTGAACATTTCCACCAGGGGGCATGTCCTGTTGGAACTGTTGAGAGAATACTGAAAAACTTAAGCACACAAAAGGAGGTGGAGTGGTCACAAAGGATTCAGAAGAGACTTGTTTTTATAGACTGGATCCTGTTTAGCACTTAAGAATATATGTAAGAAGACTAGGTAAAAAGACTGCTTTCATGAATGATGTTTGTAACTTTTACTTAGGTTTTGCAAATTTTATTACATCTGTAACTTTATTCCTTTCAAATATATATAACTCCACAGGCTGTTAACTAAATATTTCTTTTATTTTTTTATTTTTATTTTTATTTTTTTTTATTTATATATGAAATTTATTGTCAAATTGGTTTCCATACAACACCCAGTGCTCATCCCAAAAGGTGCCCTCCTCAATACCCATCACCCACCCTCTCCTCCCTCCCACCCCCCATCAACCCTCAGTTTGCTCTCAGTTCTCAACAGTCTCTTATGCTTTGGCTCTCTCCCACTCTAACCTCTTTTTTTTTTCCTTCCCCTCCCCCATGGGTTCCTGTTGAGTTTCTCAGGATCCACATAAGAGTGAAACCATATGGTATCTGTCTTTCTCTGTATGGCTTATTTCACTTAGCATCACACTCTCCAGTTCCATCCACGTTGCTACAAAAGGCCATATTTCATTTTTTCTCATTGCCACGTAGTATTCCATAGTGTATATAAACCACAATTTCTTTATCCATTCATCAGTTGATGGACATTTAGGCTCTTTCCATAATTTGGCTATTGTTGAGAGTGCTGCTATGAACATTGGGGTACAAGTGCCCCTATGCATCAGTACTCCTGTGTCCCTTGGATAAATTCCTAGCAGTGCTATTGCTGGGTCATAGGGTAGGTCTATTTTTAATTTTCTGAGGAACCTCCACACTGCTTTCCAGAGCGGCTGCACCAATTTGCATTCCCACCAACAGTGCAAGAGGGTTCCCGTTTCTCCACATCCTCTCCAGCATCTATAGTCTCCTGATTTGTTCATTTTGGCCACTCTGACTGGCGTGAGGTGATATCTGAGTGTGGTTTTGATTTGTATTTCCCTGATAAGGAGCGACGCTGAACATCTTTTCATGTGCCTGTTGGCCATCCGGATGTCTTCTTTAGAGAAGTGTCTATTCATGTTTTCTGCCCATTTCTTCACTGGGTTATTTGCTTTTCGGGTGTGGAGTTTGGTGAGCTCTTTATAGATTTTGGAGACTAGCCCTTTGTCCGATATGTCATTTGCAAAGATCTTTTCCCATTCCGTTGGTTGCCTTTTAGTTTTGTTGGTTGTTTCCTTTGCTGTGCAGAAGCTTTTTATCTTCATAAGGTCCCAGTAATTCACTTTTGCTTTTAATTCCCTTGCCCTTGGGGATGTGTCGAGTAAGAGATTGCTACGGCTGAGGTCAGAGAGGTCTTTTCCTGCTTTCTCCTCTAGGGTTTTGATGGTTTCCTGTCTCACATTCAGGTCCTTGATCCATTTTGAGTTTATTTTTGTGAATGGTGTGAGAAAGTGGTCTAGTTTCAACCTTCTGCATGTTGCTGTCCAGTTCTCCCAGCACCATTTGTTAAAGAGACTTTCTTTTTTCCATTGGATGTTCTTTCCTGCTTTGTCAAAGATGAGTTGGCCATACGTTTGTGGGTCTAGTTCTGGGGTTTCTATTCTATTCCATTGGTCTATGTGTCTGTTTTTGTGCCATAAATATTTCTTTTAAATTTTTTTTTAACATTTATTTATTATTGAGAGATGGAGAGACAAAGAGCATGAGCAGGGGAGGGGCAGGACAGAATCCGAAGCAGGCTCCAGGCTCTGAGCTGTCAGCACAGAGCCTGACACAGGGCTCGAACTCACAAACTGCGAGATCATGACCCGAGCTGCAGTCGATCGCTTAACCAACCGAGCCACCCAGGCGTCCCAGTAACTAAATATTTCTAAATATTTGGTCCTACTTGGTGAATAGTATATCGTTTATCTTTAGGTGAAAATGATTCTGCTCAAGTTTTTAAGAGCTTGTAGATTTTCTTTTCTAGTTTCAACATGGTGTTTAGAACTTGCACTATCAATTTGCTTTCAGTCTCCCTTTTCATAACTAGTGCAAAGAATTTCAGCCCGGTCTGGACGAATTATATTATAGATTCTGAATTAGTGAAGATTTAAAAGATATTAGGTTATACTTGCTGGAGAAAGTAGGCTGATTTTTGTCAGCGAAACAGGTAATGACTATATTGAATTCTTTCCTTTTGAAATCCTGTAAAATTTGTTCTCATTTTTAGTTAAAATTATCATTGTTTGAAAACGGCCTTTATTCTCCTTTCTTTCAAATAATTTCTTTCCCAGATTTACTTGTTTTCATTTTTATTTATTTTTTTATTTTTTAATTTTTTTTGGTATATGTGGAGCCACAGGTATCCTGTTTTTTGAAAGTTTGTGTTAGCCACTTGTATGAAAGACTGATGTTAGTACCTTGTTTTTCCTAACCGAAATACAGCTGAATAGAAATTTTCAGTTTTATGAAGAATGGCGAAAAGCAAAAATAGCATTTAAAAGTGTTTATTTTGTGGGGCGCCTGGGTGGCGCAGTCGGTTAAGCGTCCAACTTCAGCCAGGTCACGATCTCGCGGTCCGTGAGTTCGAGCCCCGCATCGGGCTCTGGGCTGATGGCTCAGAGCCTGGAGCCTGCTTCCGATTCTGTGTCTCCCTCTCTCTCTGCCTCTCCCCCGTTCATGCTCTGTCTCTCTCTGTCCCAAAAATAAATAAAAACGTTGAAAAAAAAATTAAAAAAAATAAATAAATAAAATAAAAAAAATTAAAAGTGTTTATTTTGCAGCAAGCCTTTATAGAGGCATCATGTACCCTAAACACCTCCAAGCACCTTCCCTGGGAATGATGCTGAGCCTTAAGCCATCATAGCTTTGTACTGTGTGGGCAAGTGTGCTTTATCTAAATGTATTTTGTGCATTCGGTAGCAAGGTATGTCCTAAGGTACCAGAAAAGCCTGAGAGAGATTATTTTTTAGGTCTAGGAGTACTCAAAAACTTTTCCAAATAAATTAATGGCAGTTGCTGCTTCTCCTTATGCTGTTTGGCTTATAAA